CGATTTCAGCACTTCAGATGGAGTATGCGGGGCCTTTTAGTCTCCCCCCCCCCCCCCCCCCTGACTTGATGCCTTTGTGTTGGAGTTTTCTCCGGTAGATGAGAGGGTAGATTCCCTGCACTTTCAGGTGTGGGGACGGGCTCTGACAGTTGTGTGTGCCTGTCATTCCCCAATCTGTTATGGAACCTGATCCGCAGTGTTGCTCATTTGTGTATGCGCTAAAAGGAATACTTCCAGGTCACGGATCGCCGTTGAATATGCTAGATTAAGGAAAATGTACTAGTATAATTTCATTTATGAGTAAGAACTGTCTGCATTTACTTAGAAAAGTATGTGTTCTATCTCAGCCGATTTTCATGTTGCTAATTTATGCCACTCATATTTTCGTTAAAATCATTGACATAATTACGTCATGGTCAAAACGATATGCAGCTTCAGCACTGAGCGGCGTTGTTTCACCATGGAAATAATTCATTCTATATCTTGCAGGGTTTTCTCATTCAGCCCAGGCTGGGGGTCAGGTCTAATGTATCACATATCATCTTAAACAATAATTTGTAACGGAAATACGAGGGGCATAAATTAGCTAAATCAAGATCGGTGGAGATAGAGCACACACTTTTCTAAGTAAATTAAGACAGTTTTTAGTCATAAACAACGGCAATCCGTGCGACCCAGAAGTACACTACGGATCGTGCTTACGTAACAGATAGGGGAATGACGGTGTCTATGTAGTATCCAGCCATCTTGTAGTCCTTAGCAGGGGTGCTGGAAGGTGCTCCAGCTGGGGACTTCTTTATTCTGTTAAGGGACTTGCTGTTTCTGTTAGGGGACAATGCCCACATGGATAATGACAGTGTGACCTGGAGGGGTGTGATTGGGAGGAACGGTCTCTCTGATCTGAACCCCAGCAGTAGTGTTCTGTAGTTGTACTTCTGTGCTAAGCCTCAAGTGGAGGAGTTCAAGTGTCTTTGGGGTTTTGTTTACGAGTGAGGGAAGAATGGAGCATGAACTTGACAGACAGATTGGTGTGGTGTCTGCAGTATTACGGACTCTGTGCCGGTCTGTTGTGGTGAAGAGGGAGCTGAGCTGTAAGGCAAAGCTCTCTGTTTACCAGTCGGCCTACATTTCTTCCCTCACCTATGGCCACAAACCCTTGGTAGTGACTGGAAGAATGTGATTGCGGATACAGGCGGTTGAAATGCGTTTGGTCCGCAGGGTACCTGAATTCTCCTATAGAGACGGGATGAGAAGTTCAGTTATCTGGGAGAGACCCGGAATAGAACTGCTGTTCCTTCACATCGAGAGGAGCCAGTTAAGGTGATTTGAGCATCTGGTAAGGATGCTCTTTGGGCGCCCCCCTAGGGAGGTGTGGCAAGCGTGTCCAACTGGGAGGAGACCCCAGGGAAGACCCAGGTCGTGCTGGAGAGACCATTCTCTTGGTTGACTGGGAACACTTTGAAGTTCTCCCAGAAGCTGGAAGAAGTGGATGTGGAAAGAGATGTCTGGTCTCTGTTCAAGCTGCTGCCCCCTCGGCCCGACTTCGGAACAAGTGGAAGACGGGCAGATAGACATAGAATGACAGGTTCGGGTACTTTCTATTAGAAGAAAGACAAAAACACATGTTAAGGAAAGCAATATTTGCTAATTTAAACAGGTGCAGTAGAGCAAGTACAGACAGCACCAGTGTTGGCGAAAGTGGTCTATTTGTCCTCCAGCAGTCTAAGCCTATAGCATTATAACCAACATAACATAACATAGCTCAGGAAATCCAAGCCCACCCTAACTATAGGATTGATCAAAAAAGAAAGTCTGAAGCCAAAGTAGACGATGCGTCCGCCTCGCAGACAGAAACTGGAAGTTGGTTCCACAAAAGAATTTCCTGATAACTGAAAGGTCTTCCTCCCATTCTACTGTTGTAAACTCTAAGAACCACAAGTAAACCTGCAGTCTGAGAGGAAAGTGATCTGTTAAAAAATATGGAACAATAAGATGTGTTATATAAGCTGAAGCTAGGTTGTTGAGAGCTTTGTAGGCTAGAAGTAAGATTTAAAATTATTTTCTGAAATTGACAGGGAGCCAATGGAGAGAAGCTAAAACTGGAAAAATATGATATTCCTACTAGCTCTCATTATTACTTTGGCAGCAGCAATTCCAGCATATCACAGGGGTAGTTTGTAGTGCTGCCGCCTCAGCAAAACGGTTGCAAGTCGAATCCTTGCCTGGTGCCGTTTTGGGTGGAGTTTGCATGTTCTCTCCATGCATGTGAGGGTTTTCACCATGTATTCCAGTTTCCTCCCACAGACCAAAAACATGCATGTTAGGCTGACTGGTAACTCTAAATTGTCCCTAGGTGTGAGTGAGAGTGAATGGTTGTTTGTCTCATTTGTCTCTGTCCCTGTGATGGACTGGAGACCTGTGCAGAGTGTCCCCCGCCTCTCGCACAATGACTGCTGGATATGGGCACTAGTGACCCCCGCAACCCAGAAAGGAAGAAGCCAGTGAGAATAATGGATTGATGGATGCGTGGCAGGACTATATCACACCTATGTTTAACGTTCTATAGGAACACCATCAAAAGTCCTTACCCTACATTGTGATCTACTAATAACGTTTAAAAATGTCACAAGGTAAATTCTGTCATATAAAGTCACTGTGACCCATTTAAACTGAATGATCTTTAGAATGCCAAGTATGTCTGAGTTACGTTATTTTTTCATTGTCCAATTTCACCATGGCTTTTATTTTACACAAATTATGCGTTGTCTTGATTACCATCAATGGATAGCCGCCTGAATGTTTTGAAACTTTTTTTTATTCAAGACAAACACAACACAATATGGGTAAATACAGTAGGTGGACTAAGTTACAAAGCACACTGCAATTTTCAGAAATGCTGTAGCCAAATCAAGCCACATTTCCTCCTCCAGTCAAAGCCAGTTATTCAAATTTGGTCTAACTCCATCTCAATTCTGCATCTTAACCTTCTTGTATAGCTCTAACTATGCAATAAACATATTTTGTTTGCAGTTACTTACATGATAATTGTATGTATGTGATAAATAGACATACTGCTGTTTACCAGCTCTCATAAAATAAACTTGAGATCTGATACTAATTCCACCTTTAGATTCATTTACTGCACAATAACTGCAAGACACATGATTTCTCTCCATAACTCAAATACATGCTTCAGATTCAAGTTTGTGCAGTAAATATAAAAATGTGTGAGCAGAAAATAACTTTTATCATCCAATCCCAATTTTTTCTTTGTTGCAGTGAAACCAAAAATAATTCAGATTCGTAAAAGTGACAAAGCAATGGGGACAAATTGGAGGGCTTAGCCATTCATGGTAACATACAAAACTTTATACAACTATGTTGATTCTGTAACAGTTTTTTTTGCAGTATTTTTCTTTAAACCACTAGACTGTTGCTTTAGCAGTGTATTGAGGGTCATTGCCCTGCTGGAAACTGCTTGCGGACCTTCGGGTGGCCAGCGTGGGACCAGTGGTCCAATTGAGTCGTCAGATAGAGGGATGAAAAGTCCTGGTGGGCTCTGGAGAGAGGCCGGACCTACGGCGGCACATCCCCTCTCGGAGGTCCTTGTGGGCCGGCTAGCAGCTCTCAGATTCGCCGATGGATCTGGAGGTCCGGTTTTGCTTCAGTTCTAGTCCAGTTCCCAGTGGGTTCCATGCTGCTCTCTGCATCCACTGGGCACCGAAGTCTCAGTAATAAGGACAGAACTTTTTCCAATCAGATCAAAACTTTCCCTCCAGTATTTTAGCAGAAGGCGATGGGGCTTCTGGGCAGGACACTGTTGGCTTCTGGGAAATGTAGTCATTATCAGAATCAGCTTTATTGTCACTGCACGGAAGCACAACAACATTACATTTCAGTACAGCCCGTCCAAATAAAACATAAACAGACATGGGGGGACAGAGGTGTCTGAGGCCGCGGCCTCGTGGGAGGCGCTGCCTTTTTTATTTAGATAGAAAAGAGAAACACGGTGGAAGGGGAGGTATAACACAATCATATTTCACACTGTTCTAGACGGGACAGTGTGAAAGTTTCAAAAGAAAACTTCATCACAGAAACAGCAACATACTGATGACATTGTATGAGCGGGAATACATTGTAGGCTTATTGAGAGAAAATTATAAAATGGAAGCACCTGTCCGAAGTATTTTTATTTTTTCCTTAACTTTGTACTGTACATTACAGTATCCCATACTGTCCCAATCACCTGAGTAAAATTAAAGTTGATAATCATGTTGTGTACAATTTTTTCATGTACAATCTTACTTTAAAAAACCGCGAAAGAGAGAGTCCGTGAACGTCGAACCACCAAGTAGCGAGGGACTACTATATTTTAATATTTTGCTCCATCCATCTTTCCTTTAACAGACCAGCTTCCCAAACTGTGCTGATTGAAAACATCATCACATCATGAAACTGCCACCACTATGCGTTACTGTGGTGCAAGATGGTGCTTTAAACTTAACTTTCCAAGTCAGCACAGTTCAAGATGGCCACCACAACTAATCAACTTAAACCGACATGAATATGACTCTGACTCAGTCAATTTCACTAAGTAGTCTGTTGTTCCTGATGCTTTTTTGTTACAATTTATTGTCTGTGATACAACCATGAAGTTTTGTGTGTATTCTAATTTTTTACATTTTATCTTCTTTAGGTGACATCATTGTAACCCACCAAGTCATGGAGACTGGCCCTTCTGTACTCTGACCTTTTCTGGAATAAAAATGGCCGTTTGTCTGAGAATAAAGGAATGAATCTGAAGCATCATTTTACCAACAGAGATTTTAAGTAACAGTTTGATAGAAAGAGGATTGCACAAGTTTATGGTTTTGATTTCCCTTTTAATGGCCTACATGTTGTTCGATAAGGATAGAATAACATCGGAGTGGAAGAATATTTTCAAGAAGAACTGATTGCAAAACTTCAATTTAAGAATGGAGCAGGATTTTACACAGTAAAACTGGTCTTCTTTATCCTGGATTCATTATTCCCCACACTCAGTTCTGCTCTGAATGGACCTCTGTCTCTCCTGAAGCTCCAGGGACACATTTCCCTCCAACTTTGCCTCCTGACTCTTTCTGCAAACTTGTCCAAACACATTAAAAACTCCAAACATGGCTGCTACAGGACGGAGGCACCTGGTGAGGGATTTCAACCACTTCATCACGTGTTATCTGTGCCGAGGTTACCTGATCAAACCGACCACTGTCACTGAGTGCTTGCACACCTGTGAGTGAAAACACAAACACAGTGAGGTCTTTTGACATTATGATGTTCATGTTATCAGTCAAGTTCAAGTCAATTGTATTGCCATTCATATCACGTGGTACATGAGGTGGAACGAAATTATGTACACAGGGTCCCAGTTACATCCAAAAATAGCAAAAATATAAAGTGAAAAAAGAAACAGTAAATAAGGATCTAAGATGTACACTATAAGATATACGCCAAACGAACGCCAAATGGTACACTAAAAGATCTAAGGTAGCAGCAGCCCGAACATGAGTATGTGTTGAGTAGATGAGTATGAATGATTACAGCAGCATGAGATCAGCAGCAATGGATAATCAGCAGCATAGATAAGTCACATATCACCAATTAAAGTGTCATTACAGTGATTATTCTGGTTAGAGATTCATGAGTCTAACAGCCTCAGGGTAGAAGCTGTTCCTCAGTCTATTGGTTCTACACTTAATGCTCCTCAACCTCCTGCCTGAAGGGAGCAGGGCAAAAAGTGTGTGTGCTGGTGAGTGTGGTCCTTCATGATGCAGGTGGCCCTCTTGCTGCATCTGGAGGTGTAGATGTCTGTGATGGTGGGGAGACTGACTCCATCATACTTCTGTGCAGCTTTCACCACTCTCTGCAAAGCTTTTCTTTCTGCAGCTGTGCAGCCTCCATGCCACACGTTGATGCTGGAGCACAGGATGCTCTCCACTGCACACCTGTAGAAGGAGGTGAGGACTGAGCTTCCCAGATCAGCTCGGCTCATCCGCCTGAGGAAGTAGAGTCTCTGATGAGCTTTCTTGATCAGGCTGGTGGTGTTGTTGCTCCAGCTGAGGTTGTTGTTCAGGTGCACTCCCAAGTACTTGTAGCTGGAGACCACTTCCACTGCAGATCCTCTTATGAGAAAAACTGGATTTAGTCTTTGAAATAGCTTGGTTTTCTCCAAGTGGTGTTTGGAGTAAACTGTCAAACCAGATTTAAGGTTCCCACCACAACTAACTGACCTCAGCAATCACAACAATCACCATATCTGTCAGTTTTACTGACGTTAAGCAAAAATGTGTTGTGGTCGTAGGCAAGACATCCTGAACACATACTCTGAGTGATCACATATCATGTGAGATATATGTTGGTCACAGTTGGATGAGTTCAGACCCAGGAATGCAGACTGACACAGAGAACTCAAAATTAAAGTGGAACTTCTTTTGTTAAAGCAAAGGGCTCATGTGGGAACAAAACTTTCAACTGAAAATAGGCGCAAGGAGGAATGATGGGACACACAGGAGATTAGGTATGACATGAAAAACACTCGTGAGTTGTGAGAAACGGATGGCTAATATGGACGGGCTGATCAGAAGAGTGGCTGCAGCTATGACTAATGAAACGAACACGTGTGACTGGGCGTGTCAGGAATGAGGAGCAGAGATTAATTGTGGAAAAGTACTAGAGAAAGTAGCTGGTGACACAAACAGCACAAGTGGGAACAAAATGTCACAAAACAATTAAAAACCACAGACTGTGACAATGTCTACAACTTTAACATGTAGGGCAGCATCAGTACTGGATGTGTACAAAGACTTTCATTTGATATACTGTCAAGATATATTCAAGATTAACACCAAGCAAGGTGCTGAAACTGAGTACATTAGTTTCCTTTTTTATACTGAAAACCACTCTGTGTACTGTATTTAAGGAAATTTAATATGTTTTTGTCTTTTAATAGTGTAAAAGGATAAAGAAGTCTGGAAACAAATAATTTTTTAATTTGACCTATTTCATATTTTATAATTGCCTTCATACAATCTGGAACATAGTAAAAACAAGTTACAGTATTTTTCTAGACCTTTCTAAAGTATTAATTTCATATTTAAACTCTGTACTGATGATCAATAACTATAGAACACTTAAAATGATTTAAAGTAGCCTTTAAAATGTTCCGTTTTGTTAGAAATGTAGAAAATTAAATGTAAGAGGACTGAGACAAAAATTATTCTGGGAGTTCTTGACCAATCACAAAATCCTATGTTGGATGGAAAAGTCTTTATTGTGGAAAAGTGATCACAGAAATAGTTTATTTTGAAATTAAAGGTGATGTTTCCTGACACACATCTGCTCATATTCAGGGTTCATTTAGTATGTCAAACACGAGGTATCATGATTGGATGCAATTTGGCTAATATCATTTTTAAGACTTGTATGCTTAAAGAGTTTTTTAATTTAAACCCAGTAAATCATGCTAATGTAATGTTGTTTCTTGCAGTCTGTAAGAGCTGTATTGTGCAACACTTTGAGGAGAGCAATGACTGTCCCAAATGTGGCATTCAGGTGCATGAGACCAACCCTCTGGAGATGCTCAGGTAAAAATCAACTTCCTTTTCTTCTTTTATTTAGACTTCTTTAAATTTAATTTTGTATGTTTTTCTGTCATTTGCACATTTTTAAAAATCTTTCTCCTAATCAAATGCTTGGTCATTTTAATAGTTGTAGTTTTCAGTGCTTGGAAAATTTGTGACGTATTTGTTTTGGGTTTGTTTTGTTATTTGGCGCATGTTTTATTCTCATAATCTCTAATCCCTCTTTTTCCTTTTTTTTAATCCTCCACCCCTCCATTGACCTCCTCCCTGTCACTCCACCTCCATCATATTTTCAGGTTGGACAACACCCTGGAGGAGATCATCTTCAAGTTGGTTCCTGGGCTCAGAGAAAGTTAGTCTGACAGACTTTCCTTTTTAATCTGTCTAAAAGTTGGCAATGCATTTTTAAAATCAACAATTCCGTTGCATAATTTAACCAAGACATTGACAACTCCTCACCCCCCAAAACATTTAGCCTACTGGTCCCACTAGATGGTTTCATGCTTTTTTCAATAATTTCTTGCGGGATCAATAAAGTTACATCTTATCTTCATCTGTCATAGGAAACTACCTGATGAATCATTGGACAGATTTCAATCAACTCCCAGAAAATATTAATTGGATATACATCTACCACTGATTATTTTTCAGAGTTATTCATTCATTCATTCATTCAACCTTTATTTAAACAGATAGTCACATAGAGCCTCAACGACTCATTTACAAGTGAGACCTGTTTGGACAGTCAATAAAAATGGTAAACTGGACACATGTAGGAGTTGGAGGTGAAAAAATTCCTATCAGACTTTTTTTTTCCTGCCTGAGAAGAAAAAACTGTGATATTAAAAAACACCTCACACAAACAAGCACATAGTGACGTAGACATTCTGCAGAGGGGGACGACGAGAGCGGTGAACATGTTCATAGACGCTCTCAAGGGCACTGTAAGAGTTCTAATAAGGATGTAATAATCTGCCAGTGTCCTCTTGTGAGATCCATAAACATTCTCGAGGTATCTAAAAAAGTTAAATCTGGTCCTCTGGACATTCAAAAAAAAAAAAAACAAAGCAAAACAACAAAAAATGTAGAAACGTTTCGTCTCTCATCCGAGAGACATGCATCAGGAGATTCTCGAGGTATGTTGAGGAATGGCCAAGAATAACGACTATGAGAATGCAAGAGTCCTGAAACGATGACACAAAGTTTATTCAGCTGGTTTCATCTGGTTATCAGTTGGAAATTTCTCAGGGAGGGGGTGGTGAGCATCAGATCACATGTTCTCCAGGTGAATTCAGATAAGATGGCCTTCAAGGCCAGCCAAGGGAGCCAAATTCAGATAAACACACAGTTGTTTTGGGGGCAGGCAGAACTTAATGACATCTACCTTGAGTCTGTGTTGGTCCACTCGGTTCCGAAATGTCCAAATTACATGGCCACACCGATGGAACGTGACTGAGTAAAATCCCCAAGATCTGATGCATTCTGCCCAAAGCATTTGAGTCTGGGTACTCGAGGCATGAACCAAGCCATCATAAAGGCAAGCAGCATGATCAGGTCCAAATTTGCTGCCGACGACTTCCTGGATTGTAGATAAAACCAACAACCAGCCAAATCCGAAAAGCAAGAACCAGTTATTGTAAATCCAATTAAACATGTGTCCTTAAAATCACAAATGGCAGCAGAGATAGCCACATCATCAAGTCTTCAAGTCGATGAGATATCCAGTTGCATGCGTGCCAACAGGGTAAATCAGCTCGTCTAAAGCCTGTCTTCTCTTCGAAGAAATGTTGTAAATTGAGTTGAGGGACCAACTGGTCAAAACAAGTCCAAAATTATGGTTTGGAAGATATGCAAGAGAGGCTCAGAAGCAGTTTCACAGACAGACAGAAAAGCAAAGCGGAGAGGGAGGGGAGAAGCGTCCGATCTTGGCGAGAGCCACTGGTAAAGTTAACTTGATTCAATATGGCTGCCCCCACTAAATGACCTTAGCAAACACAAAAATAAACGTGAATCAGTCCGTTTTACAGATAATGAGCTACAATTTGGCCTAACACTGATGCACAATTTAGACTTTGTGCATTCCAGTGTTTCCTGTACCATGATACAACCCTGTCAATGGAACCGAGCGCCCTGCCTACCGAACTGAACCAACCCCCAGATCTGTCACTGCCAGCACTGACTTAGCGCTAAGCTAGCAACATGCAATACAGATGCGCTAGCTAAAAAGCTCAGTTTCCCTCATGCTTAGCTGTCTCCAGTGCTTGAAAACTGTCGGTACAACAGCGCTCAACATAGATGTGTCTCGGTCACCACAGTCTCCACCACCCCACCCCCCATCGACAAAAATCACGGAAGAGATGAGCGCCCTGCCAAGACAAGTAATGTAGGTGAAACACTGCATTCTGTCAATAAATGTTGGTTTCAGTTAGACATGAGAATTGTAGGGAGAAGAGGAGAAACTTTAATGGGTTATAGTGATTGTGCTGCTTTAAGTAATCTTGACTGTAAAGTACATAAAGTGAATCTGTTTTGGTAGGCTATCCTGTACCCCCTTCAGACAGGCCTTTGAAAACTTTCAGGAGGTGCACATATAGAAATGGTTCACAGTGACAACAGAATTGGATCCAGGAATGCAGAACGACTGGAAGAGCTCCAAAAACAAAACTAAACCCCAAAAAGGCTGACATCGGTGCAAACTTAGTGGAAAAATCACAAGGAGCTCGAAGGGACTGGACTGTGGAATGAAAGGACTGAGGATTAGTGGAGGTGTGACTACAGCTGTGACTAAAAGAATGAGAAACAGGTGTGGTGGGTGTGGCAGGACAGAAGGAGCTAAAATTAACCGAGAAGAAGTTAATACATATACAGGGTAACACAAGTAATAAAACTAACCACAGGAATCACAATACAAAAATAAACCTGGTCATAAAACACAAAGTTTTTAGTCTTAAACTAACAGATCCTGACTAACTGTTGCTCAGTTCACGTGCAGCTGTTGCCTGAAATTACACTTTCTTTACTCTTCAGGCCGACACAAATTAACAAACTGTCGCTTATTTAAAACTACACGTTAGAAACAAAATAATTAACCTCTATACAGAATATCAAGGCCAAGTTGTCTTTATTGCCATCATTGTCAGTCATATCAGAATCTTCTGGTGGTCATCCATAACTTTTCTTTTGAGGATGACTATACAAAAACAAACAGGTATTTTAATAATCTAGGATTCTGAATCTGATTGATTTTGTAGAATTCTGCCTGATTGTGTGTGTCAAAGTTTGTTTCTGCTTTTTATCTATTGTTGATGTGAACTAGAAGAGGAACAGCAAGAACTTGAATTCTGGAGGAAAAAGCAGCCCAAAGAAAATGGTCAAGGTAAGTCACAGGTTCCAGAACCTCCTGATGCATGCGCAATAATCCAGGTAGAAAAATATAAAAAAGTTAAATCTGGTCTTCTGGACATTCAAAAAACAAAACAAAAAAATGCAGAAACGTTTCGTTTCTACATTAAAAAAAAAATTTTTTTTTTATGTCCAGAGGACCAGATTTAACTTTTTTAGATGGTTCCAGAACCCTTTTTTATGACTAACCAGGATTATCTCTAATCTTACACTGATCTTTTTAGAGTTCAAGTTGTTTTAATATTCAGAAGAGAAAATACACATGAAATAATCAAGTTAGGGAAGTTTTAGATCAAGTTTTGATTCATCAGCTTGTGACCGATCATCAAATTTATTTGATGCTTATTTCACACAATTTTTTGCTTATATGTGTCATTTGCCACATTCATGAGAAAACAGGCCTTTAACTGTTCATAGTAGTGGGTTATTTTATTTTTATTATGTTGTACCTACAATTTGTTTTGACCACATTTGTACAGCCCCAGTTGCTGGTGAAGATTCAGTCATCCAGGTCATGATCAGTCCAAAAAAAAGATTTACCGTACTTGCTGCCATACACGTCGCACCACCGTATAAGTCGCATCTATTATGTGTCACCACTGACGTGTTGCGTTTGTTACGCGTCACCGCTGACAACTCGAAAACGTGGGCTGAATCCATAAATATAGACCTGTGCTGTGCCAAAATTCGACTGGCTGACAAATGGTGGCTGTAAGAGTGTGCATGGGAGGACTTTAACAAGAATTTAACAAGATTAACACTTAAAAACAATTATTTGTTTGCTTGAAATTATAGTAAATGTGTGTCTCAGTTGAACTTTTCCTTAATAAATGCACTTTAATGGTCAAATCAGCTGCATTTCACCTGGGCGGCGCGGTGAAATGCAGCTGATTTGACGTTTGCTCCATCAGTTCTGCAGCGAGACAAAGGTGGCTTGTATGGCAAGCCAAGTGTCTCATTAATAGCCACTTTTACCTATTAATGAGTCACTTGGCTTGCCATATCACTAGAACGTCGTCTAGTGGCCGAAAAATTGTAGTGTTCAATATTTTCAGTCAGACTGAATGAAATCATTAGATCTCAGCCAAAAACTGGGCTATAAATATGGGGAAAAGCATAAATACGTCATTTCGCTGTATAAGTCGCAGGCATGCTAATTTATGAGAAAAAACAACAACTGCGACTTATACAGTAAAAAATACGGTAATACAAAACCAACTGGACTTTTATTCTGAAGCTGAAGATGTTTCTCTTCCCATCTGGGGGCTTTATCAATTTTTAAATGCCTGGAGTGTGTGGAGTTCCAAGTTTTATAGAACTGCATGAGAGACCTGGTTGTGTGCTTGGATTCACATGCAGATTAGACTGGATCTACTCACCCCGCACAGTGGAACTCCACACACGCCACACATTTTGACATTGATAGTCTCCCAGATTTGAAGCAAAATATCTTCAGCTATAGAATAGAAGTCCAGTTGTTTTTGTTTTTTAACATTTTTGGGATAAGACTCCAATACCCCAAAAGTTTTGACGACATTGTGTAAAATGTACATAAAGTTAAAATTCTATGATGTGCAAATCTCATAAACCCATATTTTTTCCACAATACAACACAGTGAACATATCAGAAGTTTAAACTAAAAAATGTTACCTTTTTTTTAGCAAAGAAATTAGATGATTTTAAATTTGATGTCAGAAACACATCTTTAAAAAGTCGAGACAGGAGCAACAAAATGCTGTGTTAATAAAGTGTTAATAAAGTGTTAATAAAGCAGCAGCTGGAAGAGCAATTGACAACTTATTAGGTCAATGAACAACAGGTCAGTAAAAGGACGTGATATGACATGAGCATTTTAGAGAGGCTGAATCTCAGAAGTAAAGATGCAGAAGTTCAGCAGTCTGTGAAAAAACTGTTGAAAAGTAATGAAAAAAAATTCAGAATAAAGTTCCTCAATGGAAATAGGAAACTCTTCGAACAGCTCATCTACAGTTTATAATAGCATCAAAAAACTGGAACAATGTCTGTGCTCAGAAAAGACTGAAATTCAATACTAGATACCTGTGATCTTCAGGCCCTCAGGGGCCACTGCAACAGAAAACAAGCCTGATTCTGTTCTAAACATCATTGCATGGACTCAGGAACACTTCCACAGATTATTGTACTGTAAACACAGTTCACCAAATGCTAGTTAAAGCTCTATCACACAAATAAAAAGCCATGTGTGAACAATACCCAGAAACACTCACGTTCTTTCAAGGCCAAAGTTCATTTTGAAATGGACTGAGGCAAACTGCAAAACCATTCTGTGAAAACAAGAGTGGTGGTGCAGAGGTTAGCCTGTGACTGGGAGGTTGCTGATTCAAACTTCCTGTTATATCAAAATGTGAGTGGGAACGGTGAAGTACCCACGCTCGTCTCCACCCTCATTTGCTCCTCTCTGGGTCCTTGAGCAACCTCCACCCCCGTTTGCTCTGGGGCACTCTAGAAGGCAGCCTTCTGCTCCATACCAACAGCTGCAGCACCTTGGTGGGCAGTGGTTGTGTCAGGAAGGTCATCCGGTGCAAAAACAATTGTCAGATCTTCATGTTTCTAGCTCGTTGTAGCGACCCCTGAAGAAGGAAGCAGCCGAAAGAAGGAGAAATAAAAGACTTGCAAATCCTTGCATCCTGTCTTTACATAACAACATCCCGACTCTTTGGGGATTTGGGTTGTTTTGGTTCAGTTAAAAATTATTTGTAATTTTTCTGTTCATCTTGTGATTTAACATCTTATAAAGGAACTCATAAAATTGTGTTGGGAATTTTTTTCACATAGAAATCTCCCGGTGTCAGTGGTTGCCCGATGGAGGTAGTGATGGGGGTGATGGTGCAGATGACAGCGGTGATGGAGGGGAAGATGGAGACTACCACAGGAGTGATCCTCAGATAGCCATCTGTCTGGACTGCCTGCACAACACGGGGCAGTCGGAGGAGAGCACTGTAACGGTGGGCTTTAAGGCACTTGGGCAATTATTTTTGACTGCATCAAAACCATAAATGCATCAGATGTTTTCTAGTTTTATTCCTAGAAAAGCAAAAAAAAAACCTTTTTATTTGCCAGGTTTTTATTTCTGTAAAGCTTCTCATTTAAAATTTTTTCTTCTTCTTCCATTTAGGATTTGATGAAGAGATTCATCCGCTGCTCCAGCAGAGTCACTGTGGGAACCATTAAGAAATTTCTCAGTCTTAAACTAAAGCTCCCGAGTTCTTATGAAGTAAGAAAACTTTAATTCTCCAGTTTCAAACTAATACAGGACATTTCATAAATCAGCTTAAAGAACAGTAGTCAGTCAAATAATTTATTAGTAATTTTAATTGTTTGCTTGTTATTTTGAGTTTTTTTTAAGTAGCAGAAGTTTAGCTTGTTAGAACCTTAAAGGAAAATATTTATTTCTCTTTGAATTCAAGTTATTTTGAGGATAATTTTTTATTTAAAGGTCTTGCATATGAGGACTTAATCAAAAATAATCTGGTCTTTATCAGGTTTGAAAATTATTCAGATCCAACTTCAAATGAACAAAAACATACAACAGTTTCCACCATGTCATTATTTATTAAGCAAAAAAAAAAAAACAACAAAAATGAAAAGCTGTGTGTGTGTGTGTGTGTGTGTGTGTGTGTGTGTGTGTGTGTGTGTAAAATCTAAGTCCAGCCAATAATCCATCCATCCATTATCTTTACCCGTTTATTCCATTTTGGGTCACGGGGGTCGCTGGTGCCCACGTCCGGCAATCACTGTGCGAGGGGCGGGGTACACCCTGGACAGGTCTTCAGTCCATCACAGGGCCACATAGAGACAAACGAGACAAACAACCATTCACTCTCTCACTCACACCTAGGGACAATTTAGAGTTACCAATCAGCCTAACATGCATGTTTTTGGACTGTGAGAGGAAACTGGAGTGCCCGGAGAAAACCCACGCATGCACGGAGAGAACATGCAAACTCCACCCAGAAAGGCCCCTGGACCGGGGTTTGAACCAAGGACCTGCTTGCTGAGAGGCAGCAGTTCTACCAGTTGCGCCACCGTGCTGCCCCGCCAATAATCCAACAGTTTGTAGAATTAATCTCCTTTAGCAGCAGTAACTCCTGTAGTGGTTTTCACTATAAGTCAAGTTCAAGAATCTTTATTATCCCAAGGGGCAATTAGTTTCACAGTCAGTAGTTACACAAAACATCCAGGCTAGACATTAAGACATTAAAATAACAGAAATCATCACTGTTCATTGAGAAGCCTGATGCTACAGGGATAAGTGAGAATTTCAGTCTGTTCATCTTCCTGGCAGCAGATACCTGCGTCCAGATGGAAGCAACCTGAACTCCCCATGGACTGGATGATCAGGATCTGCCAGAACCAGCTTGGCCCTGTTCACTGACCTCACCTTGTGTAGGTCAGTGAGGTTCTGTTGGTCAGTGAGGTTCTGTAGGTCAGTCAGGTTCTGTTGGCCAGTGAGGTTCTGTAGGTCAGTCAGGTTCTGTTGGCCAGTGAGGTTCTGTAGGTCAGTGAGGTTCTGTAGGTCAGTGAG